AGGGATTTTTATTCCCTTCACCTAGAATTCAAACAGTAATGGGACAAGGATTTGTACACATCCTCTCTTCCCGGGTGTGGAGAGAGCAATCAATAAAGTCTTTTGTCCACTGGCCTTCTGTGAGCCTTCTTTTGTTGGGCAGGAGATGACACCCATTGTGGCAAACTAGTATTAGTATTGCTTGGTAATGTTTCTCTCCTGACTCGGGGGGGCGGGGGGGGGGAGAATGTTCCAGTTTCATAGAAAACACTACAATAGTTACAAAGCAAACACTTAAATATTACCATACATCATGGGGTACAGATATTATAAGTGAGATTAATGCATATAGCAATTCACAAGCATTTCATACAGTCCAAACTCTAAACATCTCTATAAATCTAATACCTATTTTAACAGTACTAACACACAGGTGAGCCAGATTAGTTTCCAGATATGCATTTGTCAGTGTTCAGTGAGGCCTGAGGGCCTTGGCATGACTTGACACCTGGTCTGCCAGCTTCTTCTGAAAATCCCAGCTGAAATTGTTGTTATGCTTGTGCAGAGGCAAAAGAATGGATTTTTCCATGTACAAGCAATAGTTATTAGATAAGAGTTCTCTGTTGTAAAATCCAGCTATCTGCACCAATCATCATCTCTGGGCACGTATCCCAGAGGTTAAAACGCACACAAAGTAATACAGCAGAATATAATATATATAAAAACAGCTTCCCACTTCCTCCTCAATAGCCTGAGAACATAGAGAAACATTCTGACCTTAGTGACTGCATTCTGCTTGCCTGAATTCCACCTGAACTTTCCATTCGTGACAGGATTCTTCTTCACTAACTGTTTTGTGATGTTGCTGTGCACTATTATCAGGCTGCAGATTCTCCCTCTGATGTGGCAAATAAGCTTGTTTTGGTGGGAAGGTAGATTGGAAAGGAATGTGGAATCCTTTTGGGGGTATATCGGTGTTATAAATTGCTGTCAATAGTCAGGAACACATACTGGAATAAGCCCTATACATTAGAGCACAGGCAGGCTAAACTCTTACTTTTGGCTCTGCACCAGCCAGACTTTCCATGGTGTAGGGGAGTTGAAGGATCTCCACACCTGCTCCACTGTGGGACTCGCACCTTTTCTGGGATTGGGTGGCTAAGGTCCTACTTCAGCCAAGCTTCCCACCATTTGGCAACACTCAAAGGATTCTGGTCCCTCACAGGAGCCACAGAGGCCACCACCGAGGGTGGTATTAATCCTTACGGAGTAACCACAAAAGTGGGACCTAGCAAGTTGCTAAGTCTGGCTGCCCTCCCAAGGCTGGATTAAGGCATAGGCTGTATCGGCCCATGCACAGGGCCCAGATCCTCAAGTCATCTGATTGTATCAGAATCGCAGCTCTCTCTCTTTTTTTTTTTTGGAAACAGTTTCCAGGCCTCAGGCTTGTGAAGAAAACCCCGAAAACATGCAACAAGTGTAACAGTGCTGTGGTCCTGCAGACAGCCTGACACAATTGCTCTCAGAGGTGAGAGCTTCCCATTCATCTTCATAGGTTCTGAACTCCAATATCCGCTGCTCTAGGAGTGCTGCCAAAACCACCCAACAGAGAACGAGGTGTGCCCAGAATGTGTGTGGCAGGGCTGTGGCCTGACCCCCCAGCCCAGCTACACCCCGGGTGCCTGGGGGTAACCAGCTTCCAACCCCGCCTTTCTAGAGGGCAGAGGGGACACCTGCTGTCACCCCTGCTGCTGCTCCTGGAGGGAGGAAGAGGGCCTCATGCTGCTGCCCTTGCCTCTATGGGAGGGAAGGAGGCCACCTGCCACCTCCATTCAAAATGTACCACGAAAACTGAGCCACAGGGGCCACTGTATCATGGTGTGCTTAGGACCCAGGATTGCCTCAATCTGGCCCAAATAAAAATGACCTGTAGGATGGGTAGGTGTCCTGAGGTGGGAAAGCAGATGTCTCCTTGCTCTCCTTGATCTCCAATAGGGCAATTTTTCCCAGATAGAGGCTGCGCCTTCTCCATTTGACGATTCCATTTCTGAGCTGGTGGTGATCTCAGGCTGCGTCGTCTCCTTTAAATTCCTCTACACCATACAGGGAATCTCCCCCCGCTCCTCTTCCCAACTCCTGCAACAGAGTTGTGATGGCTCTGTGCCTGCAGTGCCTCCTATCCCCAAGGGCATGTGGGTTCCTGGACTCCATCCCCTGAGCAGGGGGAGAGGTTTGGGGACAGAGAATAGCCACATGTGCGCCTTCCCCCAATCAGACTTTTGGTTGTTCATCTGTGGAATCAAACTGGGTCCCAGGTCTCTACAGGCAGTTCCATGCCACACAGGAAATCAACATCCAGATTTGGGCCACTGAGTATGACTGGCATGGGGAACAGTGGGGAAAGGCTGCTTGCAATGGCACCCTGGGGGGAGTTTTGGGTAGCAGTTTAGAACTTTGTTACAATTTTCAGACCAGTTATGATAAGGGCAGAGGATGATTCGTACAGTTATTTCCGAGGAGGCATGTAAAAGTTCCAGAACTGAGTTATTTGCAGTGAGACCCACTCTGCTACAACAACACAAAGGGACTCAACAGCTGCCTGTAGTGCAGAAAAAGACACCAAGAAAACAAAACAAAATAAAAAAACATCGACCCTTCTGATTTGCAGCTGCTGTGGAAACCAGCCCCACAGCCTCTCTCTCTGGACTTGGCAGGCAGTGGGGCTGTCTGCTCCACTGCTAACCTATTTTCAATGTCAGCAACCTCTAATTTAACTGTCAAGTGTAGTTTTCCCCTGCATTGAAAACAACTATTTGCCAACCAAGTAAGCTCTGAGGCTTGTCTGATTAGCCATTATAGACAGCGAAGGGGAACATTTTAAATAATTTTGCTTCTTTCATTTCTTGAAAGGGTTGTAGGCAAACCAAATCCTCCAACTGAATATTCCCTGTTTGGGTGAATTAAATATAGGTGGACAGAACTCTAGAAGGAGCACTGCACCTCAGGTCAATACAGAGCAGCCTCTTGGTTGTATTTGGAACTCCTCTGAAACCCAAAGGAATCCGCTCTGGTGATACTTTTCACTCTTTAAAGTCTCTCTTCACCAGCAGCCTAAAACACTCCTGCTCTTTCATTATGCAAAAAGGTAATAAATGCCCAGTCATTCGCACATGCTTGTTTTATGCAGTTTAAGGCAATGTCCTCTCTATTTTAGTGGAACTGTCCAAAACGTGTTGAGTTTCCTTCTTTGGGGAAATGGTGCAGCAGACTGGGGCATTTTTGCAGTGTGAAATTTCACAGTTTTATAAATGTTGTTGTTTTAGAAGCATTCTTTTAAAGAAAGGCCCAGAAGCCCTGCTTTTTAATATGAGACTTGTATAACTACACTAGAGAAAGGGGGAGAGGGGTTAGGGTGACCAGACGTCCTGATTTTATAGGGACAGTCCCGATTTTTTGGTCTTTTTCTTATATAGGATCCTATTACCCCCCACCCCGTCCCAATTTTTCACACTTGCTGTCTGGTCACCCTAAGAGGGGTTCTATCTTCATAGATTCACCAGTTTTGCTTCAGGTGTGAAAATTTCTAACAGGCAGACTCCACAGCTCTGTCCCTTCCAGCAGTCTGAGGAAAGAGGAGTAGTGTACAGTGAAGTCTAAATATCTTTATTCTTTGAGGTTTGGAAATGTAGGCTACAATTCTGCAAGAAATGCACACAGCAACACACGTGGAACTGTAATACCAACAGACCCCGGTCATCAGTGGGGCTGGAGCTAAATGCATGAGCCTCTACTGCATGAGCTAAAAGCCATATGTCTGTTAGCTATGGCTGAAGAGCAGACTTATTAATCTCTTTCTCTTTCTAAGTGGTCTCGGTGCCACTAGATGGGACAGAACACCACACCCAGGTGGTGTGTGGGTTACACAACTCCACTGAAATCAGTGAGGCCCTGTGCAGATACAAGGGCCTGCCTATCTGCATTTCTTTCCAGGATGAGGACAACATGCCTCCATTTTGGAAGTGGCTGGTGTAGTTTAAGTTGTCTGCCTCATGTTAAAGTGAATGGAAGTTACCAGGCTAAACCCATGAACTGAATACTTATTCCAGCATAGACCGATCTAATCTTTTTGGTTTACTGACTACACTGAGCTAGTAACAGGGTGTGGGGCCCTGTGAATCAACTCCTTTTATCACAAGCTAGAAGTCATACCAAGGATGAATTTGGCTCCCCACATCCATTCACAACTACTCGGGGGGTGGGGGGGAGAGTGAGGGGGGAAGTTCCAGAATTTTATATTCCCTTGGCAATAGCCCAGATTCACTGTTGGATTTGATGCTGTGTAGATTGGTAAAAGGACCCTAGAGAACCTATTTGGCTCAAGTCTACATTCTAACACAGACTTTCTGTCCATATAAACACCGTGTAATAAATCCATATTGTAAATAGCTATGAGATCCTGAAGTGCTTATGCTAATTCTAATTAGCCATACTATAGACAGGATTCTATGGATCTGTATCATTTAATGACTTGTACCTTTTCCAGGTGGCCATGTTTAATATTTCACTTACTACAATAGTGCTGAGAAGCGCCAGTCAAGACAAGTGTGTTAAGCACTACATAAATGCATAAGATGATGCAGTCACTGCCCTGAGATATTTACAGCCTTCCAGTACCTCGCATTAGCATTACATTTAATGAAAAAAAAAAAAAGGCAAGAAAGTTCTTGTATGCTCAGACACCAAATTCATGAGCACCTAGATAGATTAGATAGCACCAATATCTGGCTGCCTTCTACCAGAATAGGAAGGCTTTGGATGGAGGTGTATAAATATAAGTTGCTTACAAGGAGAATGAAACCAATAACCTGATACAGGGGATAAAATACACAGCATCATATGCTGTATTTGGTTACTTCTGCTTTCATTTCCCTCCAAAAGGAAAGAGCTTATAAAGTTATGGTGAAAGCAAACCTCTCTCCTTGAATAAAACATTGTTTCCTTGGTTTGTTTGTTCATCTTAGGTACTTGTGAAATTGGCTGGGCTTACTACTGCACCGGAGGAGGAGCAGCTGCCGCTATGTTAATCTGCACTTGGTTGGCCTGCTTCTCTGGCAAGAAACAGAAACAGTACCCTTACTGAGGCTGGCGGCCTGAGAGTCCAGTTTAGAGAATGAATGAGCTTCCAGAGGCCGAAGTGACTTGCAGACTTCTTCTTCTGAACAAAGTGCTTTAGCTCCTAGCTGCAGAACAGTCATTATGAAATGAGAATGGACCTGGTCAAGGACATGAGGTGACACTGTGAATTGTGGGGAGGGTGGGGAGTCTGGAAAGCTGGACCAAATGCTGCGACTCTCGGAAGGCATGGGCAGTTCTTGCTTGACAGAGTATATTTCTGGTCTATTCTAGAAGAATACAATTTTACGAGAAAGGAATGCTCCCCTTTGTTAAATTGTGAAGGTATAGGTGTACCAATGAATTGAAAGACTGGTGAAAATAATATTTTGGGTAGGGTATAATCTTCCAAAATTCCCCTTAAGCACAACACTCCTGAAAGTGTGCCTGCACACACACACACACACACACCATGGCACAGAACAAATAAAATGCAAACTTATTGGTGCTATTTTTTCTTTTTTTTATTCATTTGATGGTTTAAAATTCAATGTTATACCACTTTTTAAACTACACATGAAACCTAATAAATGGACCAATAAGCCACTTTAACAGTATTTTGTATATTCTCTCTACTCTTTTTCCCAAAACATTTATTCACTGCTTATTCAGCCCTATAGAATTTTTATTTAGCTTCTGTGTTTTCAGCATTATTACAAAAATGCAACATTTTACTCAGCATATATAGGGGCTTTGCCTATAGTACTGTTATGAAGGGCAGTAAATGGACATCTTTCAGTCCAGGGAGAATTCCACTCATGGTACTGTAGGATATTGTTGGTTACGTAAGACTAATGGGAAATGTCTTCCAGATATAGATTTGGTCATTGTTACGTTTAGCTCATTGTTGTTGTATTGTGCTGTACCATGTTTATTATTTCAATATTCATTTTTGTAAAAAACATAAATAAATGTGCTATTATGTTTGTATTTGAAAATCTCTGTAAATAAATTTTTCTCTGATCAATACTGGAAATGCATTATAGTGTCATTGGATGAATCAGTTCATTTCTTAGATCCCCATAAAAATGTCTTGCAAATAATCACATCCTTCATACTCCTCTTGGGTACATTCTGCCCCTAATGTACACACAATTTAACTCCCATCAGAACCTTTCACAGTTATAGAACACCTTTCCTTCAAAAGGATCATTAACCTAGCAGACTGATATACAAACTATTCACAAGTAACTTCATCAGTCTTTGGGCTGAAACATAGCAACAATTGACAGACATAGCCGCCCTACACATTTCAGGACAGGAAGTGAAGGATAGTTGATCCAACCAAAAATGAAATTGCCCATCTCAGCTAGGCAGAATGCAGTTTTGGAAGGTCATGGTCATGTGAATAAATCAAAAGACTGAGTGTCTGAACACCTGGGTTCTAATACCTGGCTTTGCCACTGACTTGCATTGTGACTATGGGCCTGTCACTTATCCTCTCTGTGCCTCAGTTGCCCTATCTATAACATGGGGAGAATAATACCCATGATGTATACATGTGAAATATTATTTTATTTATTACAAATGATTACCCAAGCTGGATTTTGGCCAGGATACCAGAGCAAATGCCTTGCAGATATGAAAAATGCTGCACGATCACTAGTGGAGAAAGGATCTTGGTTTTGCATGTCATTTGAAAGACAAAGCATCAAATTCTGCCCTCGTTTATTCCAGATTTACTCTGGTTTGACTCCACTGACATCAGTCAAGTTACTTCAGCTGTATGCTAGTATAACTGAGCAGAATTTAGCGAAGAGCCTCCAACAGCAGTGTCCCTCTGACACCATGCTGGTGTTATGCAGACATCAGGGTGGAAAAACTAGCTCCATTGATGTCAGTGGATGTTTTGCCATTAACTTCATTGGGCTAGGATTTTACCCCAAGTGTAGAAGAGACCCCATCATTTTAATCCTCTCTTTAGAAACATATGGTTGCTTTCTAAACTATCATTATTCATATTGCAATAGTGCCTAGAGGCCCCCTCTGAGATTTGGGCCCCATCTGTGATAGGTACTGAACAAAAACTAGTAAAAACCAGTCCTTTCCCAATCTCAAATAGACAAGACAAGCAAAAAAAACTCATTTATTTCAAGGAAAGCAGAATGAGCATAGAACATAATTCAGCATTTCCCAACTGATGAACTTGCACGTTTATTAATCATAAAATTAACTGATATTACATTTCAAAATGTATTTTTCTGTTTATATATTTCCAATTGTTTTTTTATATATAATTATGTATGCCACGGGTATAATGTTTGTCCTAGTTACAACTTTGTGGCTTAATAACCTCAGAAAATTGTACAGTGGGGCTGGCCAAATAAATTGGACAGAGTTTCAGAGGTGTGGTTGCTGTGGGAATAGCTATGTCAGTTTTGAATGATTAATTCTGATCTTCTCAAACTGATTTGTATTGGGTTTTACTGTAGGATGAGTAGTGTTTATCCACTTTACTGTACCATGTGCTGAGAAGAATATCATGTCCTGTACTTTCCAGATTAGCCCATAATTGCCATATCATGTTTGACCTCAAGTTTCCATTAAGAACCACATCAGCTATATTGTGGAGACTTAGCACCATATACTGGCCTAGATGCTCACACGGATCTTCCATTGGTATCAATGAGAGTTGTGCACAGCGTGCTAGGGCCCTTCATATTTCTGTTTTAGGGTTTTCAGAGCATTACAGTCTCATTACAATGTAGCACCAAATTCAAACCTAGCATATATATGAAACACTATTGACTTCAGTGGAGTTCTATCCATTCACACTAAGGGTACGTCTATACTTACCTCCGGATCCGGCGGTAAGCAATCGATCTTCTGGGATCGATCCCGGAAGTGCTCGCCGTCGACGCCGGTACTCCTGCTCGGCGAGAGGAGTACGCGGAGTCGATGGGGGAGCCTGCCTGCCGCGTGTGGACCCGCGGTAAGTTCGAACTAAGATAGTTCGACTTCAGCTACGTGAATAACGTAGCTGAAGTTGCGTATCTTAGTTCGAAGTGGGGGGTTAGTGTGGACAAGCCCTAAGGCTGAATTTGCCTTATAGAGGGGTTGAGTGCAACCTTTTTAACATTAAGGATAAATAGTCACATCTCCCTATGCGGTGGTGGCTCCCCAGGTCCTTTGCTCCACATGAGCTTTAGCAAAGCGCTCACTAGAACTTGCCTGCCTCTGCACATCACACCGCCACTGAAACAATGTTGTGGGGCTGCCTCTTAAACAGCAGAGTGATTTACAAAGGTCCAGAGACTTGATTATGAAAATGTGAGTACTCTTCTTCTAAATGTAAGGAACCTTGCACATCCCCATACTCTTGTATTCCTTGCGGTTTGCATCAGAGGGACTTCTGACATTTGTTAGATCGTTCTATGGCTTGGTGTGACTTACCACAGCAAGTTGAAAATATAAAAGTATTCCAGGATCAAAATTAGCTTTTTGGAATTATGCAATCTAATTACGGTATGACTGAGTTCATCCGATATAGCTTGCACTTTTTGTTTTATTTGGAGTTGAATAAAACAGCAGTTTTGAATACTCTAGTCAATGATGCATGCTGCACCTGCTCTGTCACTGGTTAGCATATAACTTTCAGCTGCTGAGACATGAATAAACCAATCCCAGTTTAATTAGGTTTGCCTGTATTCATATGTTTTGGTTTTGACATCCATTATGTATTATAATATAAATGCTGTTTGTTGTTTGTGACCAAGGGACTTCTTGATGCTGACAGGAAGAGGGCAACATAGGGTTACAAGCATCCATTGCATCTGGTATCTACATACTAGTTCACCAAAGCATGTTATACAAGGTCCCTACCAGAAGCCTGTGTCACACGGCTCATCATAATCATTGTGAAATTTATGTACGGATAATATGTAAGGAGTTATGTATGTATGCTGAAAATTACATTTTTACGGTCTGTGAATTGGGGCCCATCACCAGAAGTTGATAAACACCTTCTGCCTGAAAGAAACTGGTTTATCTATCGGTCTGTCTCCATGTAAATTGAGTATTGTATCCTTTACAATGAATGCCTATTTATAGTCTGAGCAAACTGCTAATCAAGACCAGCTGACTGCTCTTGCCAAAGCTTTAGGCCTCAGCCAAGCACTGACAAATTCGTTGCTGGAAGCCAGTCTGGTTCACCTGTGTGTTAGTAAGGTTACAGTGGTATTGGACTTATAACAATGTGTTTAGTGTTTAGACTTTATGAAATGCTTGTAAATTGCTGAATGCATTGATCTCACTTATAACATCTTTATCACATGCTATAAGGCAATATGTAAGTTTTTGCTTTATGACTGTAAAAAATGTTTGCTCTGAAACTATGAACCTAGTCAGGAGGGATCGTTGCCTAACTGCCAAGAAGGTTACCAAAACTAAATGGGCCATTGTGGGACATCACAATACAAAGACTTTGTTAATTTCCCCTTCACACTCATGAAGAGGCTACGTGCAAAAGGGCTCATCCCTTCAGCTTGATTTCTGGAAGAAGGAACTAAAAATAGCTGACAAAAAAAATTGTCACCTCTTTTTTGTTGTTTGGACTCTCACAGGACTGGAGCTATGAAACAGAAGCAGAAATCCCCAGAGTCAACCTGGTGTAGCCCTAAAAGACATTCAGAGCTGACAAATTACTGCAACTCTGCCATTTTTTAAAACCATAGACTAACTCAGGTTAGGACTGGGAGCAACCTGAATATTTTGTGATCTTTTGTGTATAGCAACCAACTATCACTAAATCCAGCTTTCCTGGGTGGCAAGATAGACTGGAATGCACAAGGGGACTGTCTGTGAATCTATGGTAAGAGTGTTACAGTGCTTCAGGAGTTCACATTTGTTTCTGGGTCGGTGACATCTAATTATAGAACACACAACCAGTTTGGGGTCTCTTCCTGTTTCTTGACAAATGCGCACTCACAGTTGTGAACCACTCCAGACAGCGTGATTCTCCAGAGGAGATTCTAGGACAGGAAAACCCAAGCAGCAGGGATTATTATGTTTGCAAGAGAAGACAATGGAATTTTGGACTATAACTGTAGGGACACAGACAAACTCTGGATCTTTCCACTGAAGAGGCAAGAAGACAATGTGACTTGTCTTGTGAAGGGAAGATCACAGCCAAGCCTGGGTGTAATATTCTGGAAGGATTTGGGGTGAACTTTTGGTCTATATGACATGACAGTGTCTTGGCAGGTAAGTTTAGTATGCATGTTATGATTTTATTTTATATGCAAACCTTTGATTCCAATATTTCTACTTGCCATGATTTGAATTTCTGTCCTTTGATACTTGCTTTCTCTATAAGCAAATCTAAGTACCATGCATGAACCAGAATGTGATCTACGGTGTGACCAGTAAGCTGTAGTGTGCTATTCCTTTGGGAACAAAGGATCTGAGAATTCTGTGAGTGTCCAGTGGACCAGGGGCTGGACACTCCAGGGAGATGCTCAGAGGACTGAGGGATGGGAGTGTATCTGTCATTAACCTGTAAAGAGAGAGCAGGGCTTGCAGAGGCCTGGAAGGCATTTCTTGTGTTGACAGAGGCTGGTGGTGCTGGAGAGCTGACCCACAGCAAGCACCGACAAGATTTCCTCATGCTAAGGGCAGGTGGGAGTGAGGTGCCTGCATTCCTGTCACACTGAGGCCTTGGCTACACTTGCAGCTGTACAGTGCTGTGAGATAAACCTGTCTTTGTACAGCTGAGTAGGGAAAGCGCTGCAGTCTGTCCACACTGACAGCTGACAGCGCAGTGGTGTGGCCACACTTGCAACATTTGCAGCTGTGTTGGGAGCGGTGCATTATGGGCAGCTATCCCAGCATTCATGTGGCTGCAACGTGCTTTTCAAAACGGGGGTGGGGGGTGGGTTGTGACAGGGAGTGTGGGGGGAGAGAGAGTGCTTTTTTGGAGCATGTCAGCTCTCTATTTTGCAAGTTCCGAACTCCCGGCCCCCTGCTCATTCATT